ATGATATAAGTACTGGTAATCTCCAGATTTACATAAAGCTACATTATATCCATCGCAGCTGTTTTAGACAAGAAAGGTACCCCGGAAGTATCACAAAGCCGTGGGTGGGTCCGCTGCAAAACTGCCCTTGGTATATTCAATAGGATCGATAAAGTTAATTATAAGTTGGCTCTAATCAATTAAGACACTTTGGCCGAGTGGTTAAGGCGGTGCCCTGCTATCTTGCTTACGTAAGTTACATAAGGCATTACTTTCGGGTGCGTAGGTTCGAATCCTGCAGGTGTCGATTTTTTTGCTTTTCAACACGACTTTCATGTTAATAGATTGCAGGATAAGGGGTGAGTGTTTCTTTGCGGAGGGGGAAAGCGGCGCCTAGGTGTATTTTCTAGGCTTGCGTTTATTTCATTGCATGCTCTCTGCCGGTTCTGGGAGGAGCTGCCATTATTGGGCATTTGGACCTCTGGTGGGCAACAGATGGCTTCTTCACCCGAGTTGCTGAAACAAAATTATCTAACAGTAAATGTTGGATTCTGGCCAAATATCAGTTCTTTCCCGAAGTCAACCGTTTTTTTTTTTTTTGCCTTTTAGGTTGACCAAGAAAGAGATTGGCATTAAAGTGTTGAAGCTTGAAGTTGGGATGGCCCTCTTACCCTATAAGAACCCACAGAGTTGTGACAAGATTGACCAAGGCACTGAATTTAGAGACGGCTATCTCACAAGACGCAACATTTGAAAACGAACCCCCTGCTCAATCTGTATTATCACATAATCATGACCCCCAGTACTGGGTCGCCGCATGCTCTTTGGAAGACTGGGATAGACTCTATTTGGGCAATTTCGCATGGGATTTCGCATGGTGCGCGCAGCAGCCGAGCCAGCAGCAATAAGGGCTGTATGTTGGATTATAGCACAGTCTCGGAACCTAGTCGCAACAAGCGGCATAATGGTTACGGGACCGTATATGAGAGAGAGCATGGAAACTGCAACCAAAAAATTAACACTATTAGAAACTGGATGCCGCACCGGCTGTTCCATGTTGGGTCAAACGCTTCATTGCCCGGTGAATTACGCCCAAGCACACGAATGGCTGGCAATTACCTGTACGACATGCCACATTAAGTCATTACTGGCGCCATGTAAATAAAGCCTCGTAAGCTATCGCAGAATACACTACATGCGTTTACACAGGAGATTCCTCTACGAGACTTGCTAAAATTGTTCCGGGACGCTGTCCACATAACTCGGAGATGGGGTTAATAGCTTATTTCATATAATGATAGTCTTTGGCATTACAGGTTCTTAGTTTTCCTTAAGGCCTAGATGATCGAAGAGCTTAGTCTATGCGACCAAGTCGGCAAGAGCCTTTGCCCTACGTCCCGTTATCGTAGCCCTCGTGTAACTGCATAACAACTATTCAGAGTATTGTGTCCATGATAATTGGGTCAAAGAAAATAACGGAAAGGAATTGACCAACAAAATATAAAGAAGAAAAGCAGGATAATTAGTATAAACTTTGAAATCAGATACCCAACCCAGACAGGGAATAGTTCATAGCATGATAAATAGCCGGTAACACCTCCGACTCAGCAGGAAGAGAACATTTTCGTGTGTCAGACCGACAAGTATTCATGCTACCGCCAGATTCAACAAATAGTTTCTTGTGGTTTATAAGTACGCTATCTAGTCTTGACCTGGTCATGTGTTCAATAGTAGAGGGCATGTTAATGTGCCGTATATACAGATCTTGGGAATCATGGTGGCCTGTAATGGGATAGATAATTGATTGAGAGGGTTTGACATGCTGGATTGTCGAAGGAGGCCCACTCAAGCGTGCTTGTTCAAGAGACTGAATATGTGGCAATAGCATATGGCCCTTTTGCTGCCCGGCCTCTCCAGTGTCGTTGTTCATCCCGACAGCACGTTCGGACTGGCGCTTCCGCGGAAGAATCTGGTCTGAGCCTATGTCTGCTGCGTCGAGCGCTCTTTTCACAGATATTTGATCTCGCAAAGATTCTGTAGACGGCTGTACAAGAAGTAGCTCGGTATCAATCATGTTGAGCAACTCAACACACTTCTGTTGCATAAAATTTCTGTCCGTTTTGCTCTCAATGTCATCGTGACGGCGAACATGTCGAATCCATTCGATCAAAGTTCTTGATGTCCATGGGGGTACACAAATCGGGCATGTGCGCTCAAGCTTGATATCTGCAGCCAGTAAATCAGTACGCAACATGTAGTAATTAATGCTTCATCTTACGCGTTCCGCAGTGCTCTCTAAAACTAGCCAACTTTTCGACGGGTTTGACGCAACAATTGTCTCTCGGGCACTAATAACCATTTTGATCTTTGTGTTTGGTCAGCGGGTTGTGCTGGACTGTCTGCGAAGGATCCGCGGCCAGAAGAATATTATCCTCGGCATTCGAATACGAGAGAGACTGTCCAAGGTGTTGTTGGAGGTCGAATGCTAGCTGTCTCTGCCGTAATCGTTTGACTTCTTCTTCTTCAAAGTGTGCATCACGTTCTTCAGAGCTTGCAAAGGTAGCTAGGCAGGTACATCGAAACTCGGACGGGTACATGCTCAAAGTATAGCGATAGAACGTGAAGATTACAATCGAAGGAATATAATGCAGATAATAGCTATATCGCAACTACTCCTCTGTCTTGCCGCTAATAACGCCCTCCTTGCTGTCCTGCTAATAAGTACTAACAGCTATACTGTATATATAATTAGTTAATTTATACTGCTTAGGGACTTTATATATAACTATTATACGTTATCTAGGTACAGCTATATATTTTAATTAGGGGCTATAATATTACCTGTTATTATTATTACTTTTATACTTATACCTATTTCTAAATAACTAAATGACTAACTAACTATTCTTAGTCTTATTTAAATATTATTACCTTCCTATTTTATCCTATTGTTTACCCCAACCTACTGCTACTATTTAACCGCAGTATATATATTAGCAACTTCTAATAATGCCATCGTCAGCATCAATCAAGCCGCCGGCCTGTCAATGCGCCCGATACAACACGACAGCCAGGATTGTACGTATTCGGAGGGCATTCGCAGCTTTCTCTCCATCGCTCCATCGCTCGACACAGTGCTCGTTATTGATCCTCCCCTCGGGTTAGCAGAAGCTGTCGGCTAGCATCAGCCTCTTCTGGTTCAGGGTCCCTTGTGGGGGTAAGTCTAGTAAAGTGAGGAGACGGTTGACCTCTCGTTGAGATAGGCGACGAATCTCTCCCCTCGTTCTTGGACAGTTTTGGATCTCATTCCCTGTAAATATATTTTGAAGCGGGAGTAATCGATGGCGTGGATTTATTGTAATTGCATTTCGGTTTAGGTTTTTGATAATCGAGTTATATTCGCGAGCATCTTGAGTAATCCGGTTCTGGTGAATCTGCCGTAGAAATGAGGTGTTTTGGTCTTGAAGTGAGCTCAATTGGGCTATAATTTGGTTCAAACTATCATTTATTAGCCGAATCTTATTATGTTCGTTGCGAAGTTGGTTGCTAAAACATTCTATCTGGCTGCTAAGACATCTGAACTGGATCTGAGTCGTATCAAATGAGTTGCGAAGCTTGTTGCTAAGATATTTCCATTCGTTCTTAAGACTATTAAGTTCGTTCTTAATACTATTAAGTTTGTTCTGGATATTAAGTCGGTTCTTAAGACGATCAAGTCGGCTCTCAAGACGATCAAGTCGCCGGCTTCAACCACAGGCGGAATATTTGAAAAACGCCTAAATTGTACCGCTGCGGCCTCCAGGTGCTGGCCGAGTGCGTTAAAATCAGGTTGCTGGTTTGCCATCATATAGCAAAGTAAACAGGATGCAATTTGAGCGGTGATGGGATTGGCTGTGAAGTGGTTTTTTAAGCAAAACGCGGAAAGACAAAAGAATGCGCCTTCCAGCTTTACTTCTTTAATAAGAGTCCCGGAGAGATGCGCCATCACAATCACAAGCCTTATAGTTTGAGCTTAACCTAAAATTGGTCTAGACGACCTTCGATTACTACTATTACTAGTAGAAGCTTAAATTTTCATGCCGGCACGTATCTTTGTGGATTATCGTGATCCTGCCATTTTAGTGTTAAAGGCGGACTGACACCAACAGCGCATCGCGAGCTCTGCAGGCGGCCCCCAGAAGGGAAATGAAAAAGAAGCTCTAGGAAATGATGCTAGCAGCTTCAACGGGCCCAAACCCAAATTGAACCTTTAATTTTGACCCGCCCGGCTCAGCGCTTTGCTTGCACCTATGACAGCATTGAAGGACTTGATTTCGTGGTCATCGGACCTAGTCATGATCGTGAAGTGGTATTATTGGGCCGGCTATTATTCCGGGCCACTTGAAAATAATGATGTTGACGATGATGATGTTGGAGGAAGAAATATGCTGCGGCTGCCTTGTTGTCTGGGGGGTTTAGTGCACAGCAGTGATGCCCTTAGTCAGGTCACAATAAAATCACAAAGAAACACGAAACTAAGTAAATATCGCGATTTCCATTCAAGATCACTCGGAAATTACATACAAGGGTGTGGCAGACTGGATGTGTGCACCGCGTAGTTATCATCTTGATGGAGCGATGTGGGTTACAGCGCTCATGCTCACAATACGGAGTAGACGGACTCGTTCTTCTCTGCTAGCTGCACTGCCAAGACCCCAAGAGATGTCAGCCACACATCCAACGCCACAGTCCCATAGACTGGAGTAACGTTGTGGCGCCACACAATGATGACACTCGTCAAGTTGACTAAACCTACAACCGCATCAAGTCTCAAACCCGAACCCTTACCCGCGATAACAACGGTCCCCGTACGACATTATGCAGATGGGGGATACACATCTGTACCTCCATAGGTGTATGTAGCTTCTGGCTGGGAAGTGCCGTTGCTAGCGAGAGCCAGACTCCTTTGATCGAGGATCACGTTGTCGCCACCCGTGAGCACATGACAATCCCAGGTTGGCCGGATGAAGCCCTAGGACACCATGTTTGTCGCCGCGACGCTCTTAGTATCCGCCTTGCTGCCATGGATAACGACGTCGATGCGGGCGGATTACTTGGCGCAGTTGCGCCAGGACACGGTCGACATGTTCTATCACGGGTTCAGCAACTACATGAAGCATGCGTTCCCAGAAGATGAGGTATGGCGGTGAGCAGGGACTGATTGGTTAATAGATTGCTAATTGTCGATTTATGAATAGCTGCGACCACTAACGTGTGGTGCTTTAACTCGAGACCGCGACGACCCGACCCGGATTGAATTAAATGATGCTCTGGGCAACTATTCTCTTACCCTAATCGACAGCTTATCAACGCTCGCCATATTGGCAGGCGGCCCGCAAGACGGCTCCTATACAGGCCCTCAAGCTCTGAGCGATTTCCAAGATGGGGTTGCCCAGTTCGTTCGTCTCTATGGGGATGGTCGACGCGGTCCGTCGGGTGTGGGTGCGCGCGCTCGTGGCTTCGACCTCGATAGCAAAGTTCAAGTCTTTGAAACGGTGATTAGAGGACTAGGCGGCCTTCTGAGTGCCCATCTGTTTGCTATTGGAGAGTTGCCCATAACAGGGTACGATCCAAAGCCCGCAGAAACCCTCGCTGAAAAGGATCCATTGGAACTTGCACCGATTCCCTGGCCAAACGGACTCAAATATGATGGCCAGCTGCTCAGGCTTGCTCTTGATCTGGCAGAGAGGCTCTTGCCAGCATTCTACACCAAGACTGGAATTCCCTACCCCAGGGTGAATCTCCGGACCGGTATACCCTTTTACGTCCATTCTCCTCTGAACGGTGATGCAGACAGATCCAAGGATGAGGAAGGGCGCTTAGAGACCACGGAAACTTGCAGCGCGGGCGCAGGCAGTTTGACTTTGGAGTTTACGGTTCTCAGTCGGCTAACGGGCGATCCGAGATTTGAGAATGTAGCCAAGCGAGCGTTTTGGGAAGTTTGGCGGCGGCGAAGCGAAATTGGCCTCATTGGTAACGGAATTGACGCGGAGCGCGGCTTTTGGATAGGCCCTCACTCAGGCATTGGTGCGGGCATGGATAGTTTTTTTGAATATGCCTTCAAGAGCCATGTTCTTCTTTCGGGGCAGGAGATGCCTAATGTGACACGGTCTCGAAGACAGAGCACGACAAATTGGTTGGACCCGAATTCTCTTCATGAGCCCTTACCGCATGAGATGCATTCGTCTGATGCGTTTCTCCAAGCGTGGCATGAAGCGCATGCGTCTGTTAAACGGCATATTTACACGGATCGAAACCAGTTCCCCTACTATTCCAACTCGCATCGGGCGACGGGCCAGCCGTATACCATGTGGATTGATAGCTTGGGAGCCTTCTACCCCGGTCTTTTGGCTCTAGCTGGCGAGGTGGACGAAGCTATTGAGGCAAACCTCGTGTACACGGCGCTGTGGACAAGATACTCGGCGTTGCCCGAGCGTTGGTCCATTCGCGAAAACAACGTCGAGCCTGGTATTGGCTGGTGGCCTGGTCGACCGGAATTCATAGAATCGACATATCATATCTATCGCGCGACTAAAGACCCATGGTATCTTCACGTCGGCGAAATGGTCCTCAAGGATATCCGGCGTCGCTGTTACGCACCCTGTGGTTGGGCAGGGCTGCAAGATGTTCGAACCGGGGAGAAACAAAACCGCATGGAGAGTTTCTTTCTCGGCGAAACCACCAAATACATGTATCTCCTGTTCGACCCAAATCATCCTCTTAACAACCTCGACGCCGCGTACGTCTTTACCACTGAAGGCCATCCTCTCGTCATACCAAGAGGCAAGAACAGCAAGCCCGTCCGTCGCAAGCGCCAATCCAGCAATCTCAAAGATGTATCCGTCTCCAGCTACTACAACGAGAAGTTTACCAATACATGCCCAGCTCCCCCGCCCTTGCAAGATCCCTTGACTGGGTCTTCCACTGCCGCCAGGCCCGACTTGTTCGGTGTATCTCGCTTCACCAACCTCTACAACACACCAAACCTTCAAGGCCCTGTTGAAGAAGTCCTCGTACATGACGAAAAAAAAGGCCTGATCACCAAATACCGCGCCACTTCCAACCACACCATCTTCCCCTGGACATTGCCTCCCACTATGCTCCCAGCAAACGGGACCTGCGTCGCTCCCCCCCAGCGAGTGATTTCAGCCATTGAATTCCCGACCACCGACGCTGCAAGCTCGTTGATTTCAAGACTCGGTGCGCACATTGCATGGTATAGCTACCTCGGCCCAACAGCCACGAATCTGGAGGGCCTCCGGTTGCAGCTTGAACAAGAATTCAGCGACGACCGAGGCGAAAACGTCTGGAGGATAACACACGTGGGCAACACACAGCTCGGTCGTCATGAAACAGTCTTTTTCCACGGAGAGCACGTCCGGCATCTCAAGGATGAAGCATTTACATGCCTGCGGCACAAAGACTCGGTCAACATACAGGTCCTTGTTGAAGCGCCCCGTCCCTCAAATTTCACCACACCTCCGACCTCTGAAAACACCAGTCCTCCATCATCTTCCTCCGCCATACTATCTAGCAATATCGATACCGACCTTGACGCCGCCGACCTGGGTGTGATCCCATCCGAGTCGCTGTTCAAACATCTCCTCCGGGCAGTAACTTCCGTCTTCGACCCCTCAGAGACAGACGCCCCCGAATCGGAAACCCGCGACTCCGTCTCCGCATCCTTTCACACGTGGCAGGCATTCACCTCTGTCGGCGCAGGGTCGTACCCCGTGCCCTCAATCCTCGACAGCCCGATCCCCGGCTCTCCGACTTACAACTCTCACGATCCCATGGCCAACTTCCCCTGGAAAGCAATCTACATTGCCGACGAAGCCTGCTCCGGGCCCCTCCCCGACTCGGCGCCCAGAGATCACCAGGTCATCGTCATCAGGCGAGGCGGGTGCTCTTTTAGCGACAAGGTCGCAAATATCCCGGCCTTTGCGCCGCGCCGAAGCTCGCTACAGCTGGTCATCGTGGTCGACGAGGCCGACGAGCACGGCCAGCACAGGGACGAGCTGCCCCGGCCGCTGATGGAGGTGGAGCAACTCACGCCCAAGGGCATGAAGAGACTGCACGGGGTGCCGCTGGTGCTGATGCGCGTGGCAAGGGGAGAGTACGACTTGTTCCACAGCGCGCTCGCCGTCGGCATGCGCAGGAAATATACCATTGTGAGCCAGGGGCTCATTATCGACAATGCGGTAGTGTTATAGCAGTATGTACATGGCTTCAATTTAAATATCGATTCGAGATGTATTCATGACGGAGTATTCTGGCATATATACCGCGGGCAACGCCGCGCAAAGAATAAAGCAGCGCGTATAAAACGAAGGGGGTGGACAATGGGTCCGAATGCAAAGGACTTGCTTGCCCGGCACACCGCATGCTACAATGAGGTGTGCAGACTATCTGATCCGGTGACGAGCGAACGCGGCCGGGCCCAAGCCAGGTTGAGCACCCTGCGCCTTTGCCACGGGATCCTTGGTCCGCGTTATTCCTCATACTTGAAGTGGCGCGCGGCCAGCCGTCCATTGGACGGGATATAGGCATCGTCCTCTGGCTTTGCTCGGTCTGCCTTGCAGGTTCTACGGTGGGCGGCGATGCGCCCCTGGGATTCCTAGCCTTTCATGAGAAACTCTGCTGGGGTCCCCCATCTCTGGTTACAACGAAGCCGTAGTGGCCCTCTTTGATCTTCTTTCATGATACATTGTCCAGCTCGAGATTCGTCTCGCCCCGGATGCGACGCTCACCAAGCGTAAAACCCTTGTTTCTCTATGGGATGCCACGGTGAGTCCACAAGCAACACAAACTGAAATACAGTCTGCCCTACCAAGTGGTGCAGGTGGTGGAACTTGTGAGACCAAATGCCCAGATACCATTTACGGGAACCACTGAGCAGAAAAACGTTGTATCATTATTTTTTCTCTCTTTTTAGACGGGGTAGATACAGGCGCTTAGGTTGCATTTTCCCATCACCAAAAGAAATCTATCAATCATCAAAAAGAAACCAGATCTCTTCTCTCATTCATGTGTTGAATCGCTCCTTCAGATGCTCAAAACGTCATCATTGTCGTATTAAAGACAAACTCTTTTTTTGCTCGTCTAGTTTGGCTGCGCACCAGCTTCTCCAAGTCCTCATATTCGAAGCCGATCAAAGGGTGTCCTCAGAGGTTTCCAACCAGGTTTGTGGGGTTTCTTGAAATTATTCCGTCTATACCAATCGAGAAAAGAAAACACAAAATGCCACCACCCATCATGAAAATAAAAACAAAATTGAACTTTTTTTTATATAAAACATATTTCCAAAACGCCTCTGGTTTAGGTTTTCTTGTGTCGAAGTCGCACCCGTGTGTGAAAACTCGCAACTCGTGACAACCAGCGCAATGGAAAAGAAGGTGTTTGTGGCCATGAGCCGTGCCTTTGTGCAATTATTCGCCAGCTCCGTCGCTAAAGGCAGGAGAATTAAGGTGTTGATATCGAGGCGTGGCGGTAGATCGGGTCGTTGAGGGTTATTTAAACGCCCTCCAGCAGGATGGCTGTAGGGGCCGCGCCAAGTTTGTCACGGCCGTCGAGACCGGGAACTTCCAGAATGAACAGATAGCCCATGACTTGACCCTTGAGTTGCGTGACGAGATCAGCTGCGGCTTTAGCAGAGCCACCTAAAGTCATACTATAAGTTTCTTTCCATAGAGATAGCAATTGATCGGGTTGTTGGCCAAGCTTACCGGTTGCAATAATATCGTCCACAATGAGAACCTTCTGCCCCTCCTTGATGGCATCTTGCTGCATTTGGAACAAATCCTTGCCGTACTCTTTGACATACTCAGCAGTGACGCAAGGGCCGGGAAGCTTGCCCTTCTTGCGAACGGCAGCAAAGCCAACGCCAAGACTCAGAGCAAGGCCAGGGCCAAAGAGGAAGCCGCGGGCATCCAGCCCGACAATGATATCGGGCTTTACGTTGTTGAAGGTCTGGGTAATCTGCAGCTCGAGAGCGGAAACGAGAGTAGCGTGGGCGTCGACATTGGCGAACAAGGGCATGATATCAACGAAGTCAATGCCAGGAATAGGGAAGTCGGGAAACTGGCGAAGGGTCTTGCGCAGGCTTATCTTTGCACTGGCGAGTTGGGCGGCGGAGGAGGCGGCGGCGGCGGGCTGTCGTCCCTCGGCATCTTGGGCAGTTGAAGCAGCGGTTGTCTGAATATTGGACGACAGGTCTGAAGTGTGGTCTAGGGGAGGGGGCCCGGTCATTGTGAGGCGGTAGCAGAGGAACGAAGAAGGGGAGAAGAGGGAGAAGAGGAAGAGAAGCAGGCAGGCAGAGTCAGAATCAAGCAAACGGAAGAGGAGGAGTCAAAGGGTCAACGGCAAGGCAAGGCAAGGCAAGGCAAGGCAGAGAGGAGTGGCAGAGGAGTGAGCCAGCGAGGATGGTAGGTGTGTGAGAAATTTCAGCGGGCTGGCGGGAGCTGGCGAGCTAGGATGCGCAACAGGTACTCGGTACTCCGGCCTCCGTACTCCGTACACAAATGTTCAGCAGCGCCGCAAGACAAGACGCATAAGGGAGGAGTGGCCCGGCACACAGCAGGAGCCAGTTGCCAGCTCAGTTTGCTGGTGCCAGTGCCACGCCTGCCCAGTCGTGCTTGACCTTCCCGGACATATGTATGCACCATGGCACTGTCTGGGCCAGCAGGCAGGCGCAGGCTGCCCCAGCACTCCGTATGGAGGGGTGGTGGGGGGAACGACATTGGAAGGGAAGGAGGGGGAGGGGAGACAAGACAGCTCATCTATCCCAACCCGGGCAGGAACCGCTAGTCACCCAGGCTGTCAGGAAGGAGCACTTGAGGATAAAGACTTTTGATGGCGCCGCGCTCGCACACGGCAACCTAATGCCTGAGGTCCAAGGTCCAGTCCAAACTTGACGTGGGCCACGCCAGGCCACGCCTGGCCGCGCCAGGCCGCACCAGGCAAGGCCAAGTGCATCACAAGTGAAAGTCGGTGTGCATTTTTTTTGTATCTTTTTTTTTCAACTTCAAGATTGTCTCCTGTTATTCCATATCTTTGATGCCGGCCGGCTTAGCGATGAGCGGCAATCCGGATCGGCCCACGTTGCAATCAAAGGCATGAACTTGCACCCAATGGCTCGTGTACGAGTCGACCGGGTCCCTCCAGGTACGGAGTACTTCTATCCGTCAGGTCACGGTTACTGTTACCGTTACGGCTTCTTGTTGTGCTTTGCTTGTACTCTTGCATTATTGCGGCAATCAAAACATTCCGGACATGCTCCCCCCGCGGCCAAACTTGGTGTCCTGGTGCCTGGCGTCCTGGATTCTCAACCAACTACTCCGTACCGCACGGGTTCCCAAAATGGCTTGAGCTCCCAGCTACCTTGCGCATAAGTATGGCGCGCATGTTATGGCATGGCTTAATTAGTGCCAGTGCTTTTCGGCTCACATATTGACTCCATCAAGTATCTTGGTTTGAACCAGCTCTTGTTATTGACTATGGCGTTTGTGGCCCACGGTAGCACGTGTGTGCGTATGTAAGTGAGCTTGCGAGTCAAAAACCCTTCTTGGCAAACAATCAAGGTCAGATCGGTTCCCGAATAGCTCTTGGGTCCCGTCGTCATCATTGCCCAAAAGTCCAAAAATTGCTGCAAAAGAACAATGCCATACATAGAAGCCCTGACTCAACATGGCATATCCCCCCGCCGCGTCATTCTCTCTCTCATCTCGTACGCGAAACATACAATGCATCTACAGATGGCTGAACTGCAACCTTGCGGGCTGCGACACAAAGAAGAGCCAATGGATCGCTCCATGCTTCAGTCGGGCAAAGTTCTCATGCTACTACTCGCTCAGTACTCGACCCAGCAATGGATAGCTGTGGGGTGGACAGGGAGCATCAGCGCGGACATACGGCCGGCGCAACTGCAACCAGGTGAAAATTGAGTGCTCCATTGGCAACCATCACGGCCTGGCACGGACGCAAGCCACGGTCGAAATCTTGTGGGCAAATGGCATGCTTTCCAATGCGCAGGTGGGAGTCATTCCGGTCACAGCGTCTGCCCACGTCGACACGACGCGAGGGTGAAGTGTTAAAGCGCGAGGTGTGAGGTGTTATGATGCAACACGTACTACCCTGTTAGTCCAAGAAAGGGCTGCCATAGCTCTTCTCCAGCAAACATGAAGAAAGAAACACGACGGCCCCGCGGGCCCGGGCCTCCCTACACGCGGTGAAGTGTATTCCTCTTGATTCCGATCGGTCCGGAGCGGACTGCGGAACCATTCGTCCCCAGTACACATAGTATTCCTAGGCTGATGTTTGAGAAATGTCGCACCACGAGACGGTTATTATCCTTACCTTCCGCCTTTCCAAAAGAGAGCCTGCGACATCCCACTTCGTCCCGCCCAGCATTTGGCTTGCATATCTCTGCGGTGGAGTGCGCTCCAATTAAAACAGGACTTTGATGCGCTGGTCCGGAGCGCACCATGTCGTGCGTTATTGTTCGTATACTACGACAACAATGGCGTGAGCCTAGGCAGCTTGCCAGGTAGCCAGGCTAGCGAGGTGCGAGCGATATTGGGGTATCCCAGCACCCTGTGAAGCCATGAGGTTCAAGACAAGACGGATGGAATATCAAAGCGGCGGTGACTTTTCACTGCGATACCAATCCTACTACGTACACATTACGCTTTACATATGCAGTTACGAGTAATGCAAGCCTCTCCTAGTCACTAATCCTCGACTACCCGACAAGCGAGGCATTTTATCATGGGCCAAACAACAAGAAGATTGGACTGCCACAGGATACCGGGGCCGCCAAGGTGCCAACCGGGCCATGCCGACCACTTGGTTGCCTGAACATGGGATTGATTCCATTCTTAACTTGATTCAGGTTGTCGTCTTGACTTGGTTCGGTTGCAGCTTCTCCGTACAGACATGCCTGCCTGTCCTATGGTTTGCTTGTCCGGGTACATAGCCATGAAACTGTATTTGAGCTATGACCGGCAACTATGCTCAATACTACTCATCATGCTGGCGCATACCATTATCAAGCAAAAATAAGTCCAGATTAAACGCCAAGGCTCTCGACTCGGCTGGCACCGGTCCGAAGGAGACGTCACCCTCGCTTGAAGCCGCACTTCGGGATAGTTGGGCAGATGTTATCGTTATCAAAATAAGGCTTCAAACTTGCGTCTACGCCCGGGCAAAGATGGGCAAGGTCAACAGGTTGTTTGTCGCCATGCATGGGTGACGATGAAGGCCGGTTTCGACATTGACAGCAGTGTACGGACTACCAACAAAATATTGATAGAAAAGGTCATTTTACAGCTCGACGGCTTGACGAGCATGTCTGTCCGAAGAACGCCTGTTCTTAAACGCACTGATATCAACCAAGAGAAAAGCCCGCCGCTGACAAGACATCAAAAGCCTGCTTGCCCTGCACCTTGGGCTCCAATGTGCGATACTTGAACGCCCTCACCACCACAAGGCGGCGCAAACCGAAAAACCACATCTCACGTCCCGTATCCCTTCCCGACATCTCTTGACTCCAAGCCCTCCGCGCCAAACTCTCCAACAATTGCAGAAACCACCCTGCGCACCGACATCGAGGTTCCCCCTCGTCGATTCTTCCTTTCTTGGAATCCTTCTTCCTGTCCTCGTCGCCTCTGCGGGGAGGGAAGCGGAAACAACAGCTCAAGCCCTGTTGATGCGCAACTTGCAGCGCATATGATGTGGCACGGCGTCATGCAAGCCTCAAGCTCGTAGGCAAACATTTTTGATTTACTTGTGTGCCTGGCAGTGTTTAATCCGCCTTTATGTGTGTTTGTGTGAAACTCCTTCGTTTGGTTTCAATTGAGTCCCTCGTCCCGTCTCTTACACAGATTGAAACAAATCATCACGTAGCAACAATTCATGCATCCAAGAGGGTTTCAAAAGTAAAGTAGATCTATTATTGTGAGGTATCTATGATATGCTAAAGTGCTTGTCCCAGAACAGCCAACCCAAAAATCACAGTTCAGAAAAGGGGGTATCAGTCTGTCACAGGGACAGAATAACAACAAAACCAACCATCTAAGTGAAACTGCCGCTCCCCCCTTACCAAAAAAGGAACCAATGCATCAAGTCTAGACGTTCAATATTCAAACCCGCCATCCACGACTCCCACCCTTCTCTTTCCAAAAAAGAAAAAAAACAACTTGTCTGGGCAATCCCCCTGCCAAAGCTTGCTGTAACACGATAAAGACTAAAAACCGGGGATGTCTGCATTCCACCCCCCAGACGCTGTACCAAGTATCACCGCTATTATGCAAAGCAAAAAAATGCCACCACACAGCCATGCCTGCCTGTGCGGGCAGACACATGGTATATCTTATCGGGGATTCAACGGAACTGGAGCCGTATTATAGAAAACAGCATGTTCTGCAAAACATGCAGTATCACAGCCACACAAGTCGGCAGGAGTTCTGGCCACACCGTGAAATCCAACTTGCCCTCCAGCCCAACGTCCACCTTGAAGCAGAGCCTAATGAGCAGCCGTACCGCAAGACTGGCAATCAGCTCGCACGCCCAGGTAATCGAGGACGCAGAAACGGTGAGGTTGAAGTTTTCAAACGCGAAAAACGGGTATACGGCTTTATTGGCGCCGTAGTGCAGGACAGCGACGCTGCCCAAAAAGGTGGCCATGGACGTGTTTTCGGCGAGGAATCGAATAAAGACATTGCGAGTCTGGAGCTTTTGGTAAGACCCGTAGCTGAGGCCATTGAGGCCGAGGACGGTCAGGATGCGGTGAACAAACCGAGTCATCATGATGGGGGTGATGACAACGAGGGATGTGGACGAGAGGATTTGGAGACTGATGAACTGTCCCGGAGAGCGAAGTCGGGCGTATAGGGCACGGACGTAGGTCTGGTAGGTCAGCATGAAGTAGCTGTAGCACATTGTGTTAGTCTGACTGTCAGATTATCATCTTTCATGGTCACGTATAAAACAGAGACATTTGCCCAACGCCAACCAAATGTGGAAACGAGAATGGCCATGTTCGTATACACGGAATCCAGGAATGACGCACAGCTTAAAGACCCAACTCAGCGGGTAGCTCCCGACTCGCTCGCCCTCGCGGATACCCAGCACCCAACCCGTCAAGGCGTCCAGAAGATGCACGGTGGCGACCCAACCATAGACATAGACGACCGTCTCCAGATTGTTGTGCGGCAAGGTCTGCACATACAACTCGGCATATGCCTCTCCGATAACATACACCATGAAGCCGACAAACAATGCGACGCAGAACCAGAGGAACCTCACAAAGCTCGCTGGCAACCACCTTCGTCTCATGGCTACTCGTTGAGAACGCAATGGCGGGTTCACGTACAACATGTCCGGCTCCAAAGACTCCGGGGCAATGTTGTTGCGCCAGCGTCGATCTCGCCTCGGAGGCAGCGTGTCTGGGTCACCAGTCCACCATGATGATGTAAAGATGCGTTGCGTCTCGGATAACGAGTGTCGCAGACCAATGTGTCTCTCATTGGTCATGAGTATGAGAAAGGCGATTGCTACAGGGGTCGCCATGATGATGAAGGTCCATGAGATCCACGACGTGTTGTGGACGGTAAGCCAGCGAGTTTCGGGTATGTAGTAAATGGGAATCGGGACGGCAATGGACAGGATGGCGATGAGAGAGACAGTCACGGGGAAGCCCAGCGACTTGGGCCACCAGTTGAGACTGTACAGGTTGAAGACCTTGGTGATCCATATCAGCGCAGTGATGTTGTAGAATCCGTAGTAGACAAAGAGGAAAAACCAAAAGTTGACTTGGACTTCAGCAGAACCGTGACTGGGGGGCTTGCGGGCGACATCCCCAGGGGAGCTGCGATTGTCGTCTTCGGGTAGAGGGTATTGGGGGAAGGGTATGGCACACCATCCGATGGCCTGTGGTTGTTGTCAGTATAAGCCAGCTCAACCCGCTCGACTCGTCATCAGACTTGTCCGAATACGAGCAAAAAGAAAATGGAAAACCCACCAAGGCAGTGGGCAAAACCACCAAAAGGCCATACCTGCTCCACCACCTATCAACGGTCCTCTTGACGGCAGTCTGCCTCGGGTTCACCCACAAGTCCATGATCCAGCGTTGCCAAACCTTCTGCCACATGGAAAGGTCGTCATCATAGTCGTCGTCGTCGTCTATGGCGGCATCGTCATCAGCCTCACCGGCGAGCTGTGCAGCCACCAGGGCGCCGTAGCCAACGTGAACACTGCCTCTCCCATCGCTTAGTCCTGATGTTCGATCCGATAGCAGCCCAAGCTGGCTAGATCGCCGCTGCGTCTGGCCCGGGCGAGGAGGCACGGCTCGGAATCGTCCTAGCAAGGGCGATGTGTCGTTTGGTCGGACGCGAGACTCTGTGCCTTGTGTGAACTGGAAGAAGCTAGGCATTGGGGCAGATTAAGTAGCACGGAGGAGCACGGAGTAGCACGCGGGCTACATTGGACACTGTTCTCGCGCCAGAGAGGGTTTGACGACGCGAGAGCCAACGCTCCTTGTGCCGGGCGAAGGAAGGGGGCCAGCGAGGGCCGGATATTTGAGGCCAAGACGGCCGCTCTACCGTTAGACTTTGTATGTGGCGATGTTGGATGGCCAAACCGGGGCTGATTAGGCACAGACGCAGTTCGTGAGCAGGTTGGGCCGAAAGGCTCCAAGAGACGTCTGGGTGTTGGAGGACGGTCCAGCCGCGTCAATCACGGGGCAAAGGGCTGGAGATGCAATTGGCGGTGCCGTTGAATGTTGGCAGATGGGATGGACGACCTGCCCCTGTGACGACGACGGGAGCTGCCACTGGCGCAAGGCAGGGCAGCCCTTGGGCCCTCCAGATGTCCAGTCATTCCAGACATGACGTCCCTGCCCTGCCCCATTCGCCAGGGGACGACCGGCCAGTGGACCCTGGCAGGTACCCGGGCAGAGCGCGCAAGAGCGGACGCCGAGTGGGCCGTGCATATTTCAAGGTTGAAGGTCGAATGGCGGCCGGCTTTGGACGGGTCGAACCGTCTTGCCAGCCTCCTTCGCCATCGTCTGATCGCGCAACCCGACGACAAGCTCACCGTGTTTTTGACTAGGTGGTTTGCCAGGCACCTGCGGTATTTTACTAGTAGTATGTACATTCCCTCACCATCCCGCACCATCAACAAGCCAGCAGTTCCGGGCCTCCCGGGAGCTACAGACATTATTGTGTGTAGCTATTTATCGAAAGAAACCCGCGCATACATGGCAAGCTTTGAAGTTTGGACGAAGGGAGGGAACGCCCCTCGTTTGAATTCGCTCGAGCGGCGTTACCCGTCAGCGTATCGTGTACACTACAGACTCTAATATACATGAGCATTGCATTGGCAGCCATCTTGTCTCGCCAATTCATCCGTCGTTTTGACTGTTCAGCTGTGAAATTCTTGGCCACTTTCCCCGAGCCCTAGACCAAACCCCTCACCGTGAGAGAGCCAGCATGAAACCCCGCCCTCTCAATCGCCGGCGTCCGAACCGATATCGATATCAGACCCGATATCAGACGCCTCATCCACTATGTCAGATCCCTCGTCAAATCCTTCGTCAAAGTCCTCGGCCGAGCTCTCCGCAGACGTTTCCTCCGGCTCCAGGTGTTCGCGCGGAGGCACTTGCTCTTCCAGAATGCCGCCTGTGACGTCGTCCGTGAATGCAACCGTCTTGGCTGGCGCCGACCTGAACGACACTACTGCCGGCTCCAGCACGTCTCCGCTCCACGGTTTGCACTCTTTGACGTGCTCGCCACACCGCAAGCACGTCCAGCCTTCGCCTTCCTCCCTCTCCAGCCGCGTAGCCAGGCAGACGAAGCAGTAGATGCAGCCGCATGGGATCGTCTCGTAGGGGTTCGTGACATCGGTTTGTGACGAGCCAATTACACCGCTTGAGGCTGCAGCCGCCATAATCTCCGTTTCCGTCGTGGCAGAGTCATTCTGGTCCTGGTAGCAAATAGCGCATGTCCGCTCCGGCAAGAAACCGTATTCGCCATTGGCCGACTTCTCACCCTCGGCGCCAGTGTTGACAATCTCTTTGGTCTTTCGCCAAGTCTTGCTCAGCCAACGCCTCCATTTGTTGATGCCGATCAGGGGTAGAACAAAGAGTAGAAACTCGGTGAAGGCGTGCCAAACAAGCTGGCGGTTGAGATACTCGAATGACACTTCCCGGCTGACCTGGCTTGTCGGCGGCGCCAGTCGCATTCTTAACATTCGATCCAGCAATGTCCTGTAGCGGCCGTGGAGCAGGAACACCAAGAACGAAGCCAAAGCCGCAGTGGAATGCATGGTAGTCAACCGTGACGTCCAGAGAGATAGGCGACGAACTCGGGGGCTGGGCTGGTCGTAGCCGTCATCTTGCTCCAACAGCCAGTCCTCCCACCGCGTCCAAGCATACTTTCCAAAGACGGTGATCAGACCGTAGAGGGACTTTTGTACCCTGGAGGGAGGTGAAAGGACAGGGCCGTGTCTCCTCGCGTCTGTGTACTTGAGATTCTGTAGCGCCGCACCATATGTAGCGTCGTGGTCCCAGACGGTCAGCTTGAAGAGGATGGCCCTGAGAGCCAACAGGATCTCGGCCGACCAGTCGTCATGCAAATGTCCCCCGCCAAAGTATTTGAGCGCATCGCAGACCTGGTCCTTGAGAAGGGCAACAAGTTCCTCATCGAGCAGCTCGGCATCGACCTGGGCGACACGAAACGCAGGCCGAGTGCCTTCGCGCGACGACATGGCATCCCATGCAGGCGAGAGTCTGTTGAAGGGGAATGGCAGTCGCTGAAGCTGGGAGCTGGCTCGGGACGCCTCGCGCTGGGCGGCAAGTCTGGCGACGGCTTCAGCCTCACGAGCCTGGCGCCGCGCCGCGACTCGTTGTTGCGCTTGGATGAAGCTAGAGTCGGTCATGGGTGCGGCATTGGAGATTGGAGCATCGACGAGGGAATGGAGGAGAGCTGTCGGCTCGGGCCGAAGTCAGAAGCTGTGGTCGTTCGCAGCAGTTGGCGGCGCAGGGAGAGATCTCAGAGCGTAGGAGGCGGCCGCATTGACGACTGGCAGTTTGACAGACAGATGCCGGAAGGTGCGGTGAGATCTTGGGTGCGGGTGAAGAGTCGCGGCATGCGTGATGTATGACAGCCGGCTGCGGTTGTATGCAATGGCGACGACGAGCCGAGGCTTTCAATGTCTGGTTGGATGTGGCACCGACGGGCATCAAATCGACGGGGGACCGCTGGAGCCCGCCAAGCTTCCCCGCCAGCTTGTGATGGCAGGAGCCGGGGCAAAGTGCCACTTGCAGCTTCCCAACATTTGGCTGGTACAGAACTACTCCGCACTCGGCAGCTGAATGTCGAGTCTCTCTACATCTATGTATATGCTCCGTATTGAGTGCATCTCGAGATGCGATGCTTTGGTGCGTGTGAGATGACACAGCTAAACGTCACTGCCCGACCCTGAAACTCTCTTGCCTTGTCCCTCGAACAATGGAGGAGGCCATGGATACTCGATGCTCCAACCGTTTTAATGGCTTCAACCATTGTCAAATGCGCAGGTCACGCGCAAGCCTCATCATCAGCCAAGCAAGGGATCTGGGCACACTTGGCCATGATGCCTCAGTCCATGAGAGATACACACCGTATGTGCCAAGCACACTCCGTACTCCGTGAAAAGACGTATTACATGCAGGCACCAGTTCATCGGCCCTGCATGAGCCGCCCGCTACTATTACCGCCGCCAACGATGATTGAACAAGCATTGAACAAGCATCGACCAAGATGGGCAGTAGGAGCCTTTGAATGCTCGACTCTCGGCCAATGAGCGTCCGTCACATCACCAACCCATTTATCCCTGCATGCGACAGCAACAACCATCTCCAACCTTCACTCACTCAAACCGCCATTCTGCCTGCGCATCGTCATATTTTTCGCCTCGTTTTCAACACCCCTACTGCCTGTGACTCATACATTCCTCACCGAACCAGGCCACAGCTGTCCAAACCTGGCATTTCCAACTCCTATATACACCCATATGAAGCACGGCCGCCAGCTTCTTTGTCTGTTTCCTTCGGCCGGCAAGCTCTTCTCTCTGTTGCCACCGCAACCCTCGGACGAGACACGCACCGGTCCGCGTTCAGGCCAGTCGGACAGTAGTTATTTCTTCGGGTGCGAAATAACATTGTTGCGCTTGTCTTGTTTGGCCTTGGGGTTTCATTAAACTCGAAGTGCCCGTCTCCAAGTTCACAGATACATCACTCGTCGTATTCAAAGGCGCCACGTCATGTCCTCGTCGCGCCCGCGCGCCCGCCGCTCAGACAAAGCCGCCGAAGACAGCTCACTTCGGGACAAGCGCTCGTTGCGTATTGGTGAATCATGGAGCGTGGTTGAGGGTGAAAACGAAAGCTTCGACGCTAGACGAGCGTCATTCGAGGGTGACGAAGGCGATGAAATCCTATCCCCTTTGTCCAGTGGTCAACCTTCATCCTTTTCCTCGCAGATGTCGTCTCAGGGAAACATGGGGATGAGATCAGGCCCCAGCTCTCAGGACAGTATCCGAGACTTCGCGAAGCACCAGAACGAGGATAAAGCCATTCTTCGAATCCCATTTCCGCCAAGTATTGGTTCACCATCGAGTTCAAGGACGCAAAGAGGCTACCGCACAGAAGACCCGCAGTTCAAAATGCCTCGGATAGATGTTGGCGGTTCAAGACACGGTAGCGGTAGCAGCTCTCGCACCATCCGGCCCCTTGGAAGGGGGACGAGCTACGATGGCGAGGATGAAACGTACCTTAGGAGACGGGGCAAAAGCTCATCATTCCAGGATGTTTATAGTCAGAAAGGGCAATCTGGCGGACTCGTGACAATCAGCGACATGGCCACGCCGTCAATGTCGTCTGCTTTGCTCAACATCTTGGCCTGGGCCGGTGAAATCATTCTCATTGCCCTCAATTTTGCCAAGTACCCTCTAGGGCTGCTTCTTGCCGTCTACCTTGTCTTTGGCGGCGCCATCATTGTACAAAACATGGCCACCAGATCCGTGTACACCGCCGTGTCACCCATATGTCGCCTTCCAGGAACATCATATCTTAACCTACCATTTTGTCCGCCCCCCGGAGCCACCGACTTCAGCGGTCTTAATGCGACAGCTGGTCAAACGGTAGAATTCGACGATCTCATGGGCGTGCAATCCAAATTCGAGCAGGTCCTCGAAAGAAGTGCCGACGGGGCCTCGCTGCCCTTTGAAATGAAGCGCTCAGAGACCGCAGTCAGAGATCTACGGACCCTTGTTCGAAACAGCGATATCCAAGCTCGGCACGAGCTAACCTTAGAGTTCGACGGGTACATTGAAACCGCACGATTAGCAGCGTCGGACCTGCAAAGGTTCAACACGCACGTCGGCTCGGCCGTCGACTCCGTCATTAGTATCAACCGCTGGACATCGCGCTACATCGACTCTCTCTCCCTCGAGTCAGACACGCCGTCATCAGTACTCGCGGGATGGACGCACTGGATCTTCTACCCTTTCCAGCCTGCCGACCAGCCATTCAGCGAGCGCATCATTCTCGACAAATATATCGAGCACACCGGCCTCGTCTCGGAGCGCATATCGGCTCTCATCCTCGAGGCCCAAGCCGTCCTGCGCCTTCTCACCAAAGCAGAGGACCACCTCAGCCTCATATACGACATCACGTCCCGCACCTCCGCGAGCGTCTCCTCCCGTCGCGAAGAAATCTTGTGGAACATATGGACTCTTGTGGGCGCCAACTCCCGCAGCCTCAAGAGCCTCTCGAAACAGCTCTCTCTCCTGCAACAAGTGGATTCGCAGCGCTCTACGGCCGTCGACCAAATCAGCGGGCTAATCATCGAGCTGGAATCTATTCAAGCGAATCTGGGCGACTTGCGAGACCGTGTTGCAGAGCCCCAGCTCCTGAGCGACTCGGAAACAGTCCATATCCCCCTCAGTGTGCACATCGAGACGATTGATCGTGGTGTGGAGAGGTTGCAGGCTGCCAGACGGAGGATCCGGGCCGCGGAAGATGATCGTGTCAGAGATGTCATGGCCAGGGGAGGGCTGAGAAGCGATGACGGTCGTTTGATTGAGAATGGCAGGGGTCAGTAATGAATTTTGACGATTTAATGAATCAATGATGCAGGAGTCGGGCGCTACGTCAGCTCTGTACAATTTTGTACTCCGAGACTATTCTGCAGCAGGGTGTTATTGCTCGTATTAGCACGCGACGTCCTGGTGAGGACCAATAGGCGGGTGTGCGCATGTAATTTAACGGCGTTGTAATGGGTGATTCCATGAGTTTTTGTCACGACATAAAGAGCAGACGAGCATCGTCAGAAATATGGACTGAATAATACTTGAGCCGTTTTTTTATTTCACCAAGCGGCCATGTGCGTATACGGAAGGGATATCTCCACAGGCCTGTTCCAACGCCGAGTTCCCTCGCCAAAAGAATAGGGCTGACCCAATGCCCACCCCATAAACCGTGCTTATAACCCCCCTTCCAGCCGACTCCAGAGGATATCAGAATCCCGCATCACAAGACAGGGAGTACAAGACTAGTTAGTGTAAGCCAACCAAAACCCACCGCGTCAAAACTCCCAAGTCCAAAAAACAATACATCAAGTTGGCTCTCTGATACATGGATTCTTTCAGCTGCATCCAACAGAACAAACTTTGGTACCATCTATAGCCAATCCCAGCTCAAGGTATCCAATTCGTCATGGAAGAAGAATAAAAGACGCCATCCTCATAGCGATCAGATGAGTTCCATGCAACTCTGCAATCGTAAAACGTCTGTCGTCGACAAAGTAGTAAAAGGTGCCTTCCGAAAAAAGAAAAAACGCCGCATCCCATCAAACCCATGATATGTACCAGAATATGACCCCATCTTCAGTGTTCAAGTAACCTGAGATAAAACAAAAACGCCGGTGCGATGCATGCCATTATACCCCAGTTCTAGTTGATAGCCGTATCATTCGTTAAGGTATGCCGCTAATGCTACACGTTATAGGTTAACTGAACCCAGGGAACGCCTTCGATATAACTCGCCTCCCTATCGCAAATAGATTAATACGTACGTTACTAAACAGTTGCCGAATGGCCGTGCTACTCTCAAGTCTGGACTCACATCTTGGTCGAGATTTGTCAGGGTCATCGAAGGGTGCGTTGTTGTCAGCGATTTCTCGCATCCGTTCCCGAGCAAACGCCGATGGGCTACCCCGCCTATTCGGGGCTCTATCACCCATATCCAAGGCAGCATTCTCGGGTTGAGTCGGAAGCAGCCTAAGCATTCGCGGCTTTGACTTCCTAGGTCGAGTCTTGGCTGTGGTGGCAGCCACTTGAGGCAGATCGGTAGAGTCTGGAGTTGCAGTGTCTGCCGTCCGATCTGGTAATGAGGACGAACTGTTGCTTTCCTCGCCTTCTATAGGGTTCTGACTTTCTTCTGTTTTTGTTGTGTGTTTCGATTTCAGCGGTTTCATTTGTACATCGGTCTTGGTAGGGGATGTGTGGCTCGGGTGTGGGGAGGAGCTAAAGAGCTTCTTGCCCCAGGACTTCAGTCTTGTGTCTCCAGATTCAAGTGATAGTTCTTCTATATCAACTCTTTCCCTAAGCCGCCTCAAGGCTCTTTCTCGTCGAACCATTCCATTCGTTATCTTGGGGCTATAGCCTTTGGGGAGCATGCAGTGTTTGCACGTTGGACATAAAGAGCTGTTTTGTATGAGAAACTCGTCAATGCATTCAGAGTGAAATATGTGGCCGCATGGTAGTTCGCGTATGACTGTAACGCGATGTTCGAAGCTGGCTAAGCAAATGTGACAGGTGGGTTGGTAGTTAGTGGCCATGGTCTCGCCAGTGCCCGTCAGGCTCGATCGCTTGCTTCGTATACTGCGGACGCTTGGTGCGCCAGGGCCCATTGTTTCTGTCTTGGTGCCAGGTTCACGCCGTCTCTTCTTGCGTGTCTTTCGTGTACGGCCAGAAGGGGCGGTTTGTGATCGAGGGCTCAACGGCAAGTCATACAAATCGGGCTCTGCATTGTAAGTGAAAAGAGGAAATTGCGCCACATGAGAAGCAGGCACGGTCACACGCTTGATACCCATCGCCTCCAGATCGACCTCGCCGGATTGGACCCGACGTTTCAAAGAGTTGCGGTTTCGTCTTTGAATAAAATGCATAGCAATGGAAACAGTGAGAATTACAAAGAGTAGGGCTCCAATGACAATAAGGATGAAGGCCCAAGTCGCAGGTGTGTTTGGCGGTCGATCCAATGTAAGCTTCGTCCATATGCGCAGATACGTAGTCCCGTGAAGATTGTACAGTCGTTGTACCTCTTGGCCGTGGGGGACTTGGGTTATGGAGCCTGAATACAAACTCAGTTGCGTCATGATCTTCTGACCTTGGAGGCCCGGAATGGCGAAGATGGGGAAATGGTTTGATCGCCAGGCACCGCCGTCGCCGAGGTTCCAAACCGGTGAGTCGCCATCCTGGGGCTTTTTCGTAGAGTTATTGGGTTTGTAGAAGATGAATGCTTTCACAGGGCCTTGGAGGGCTGCATTGAGATAGGCCTGGGTGCAGTCACTGCTAAACCACGGAGCAATGGCCACTAAGTTGAAATTTGCAGGCGGCAAATCCTTTCTACGGGTGATATTTCGTGGGATAGAGTCGTATTGTTGCACATCGCAGGATGGAACGGACGTGATATCGGGGACAAATAAGAGGCCTTGAATGGAGTCGTCGAATGCGGAGGTGGATTTTGATAGTGTTGTTAGATTTGTGTCGATTCGTTGTTCATAGGCTAACTGGCTCTAGTTGATCGGGTCTGGTTAGTTTCGGGAAGGGCATTTGTCGTGACGGAAGGGGGCAGCATAATCAGGGTGCCTGAGACGAACCGTTTGCTGGGAGAGATTCTTGGATATGGTCGATGCGATTGTTCCCTCGCCATTCCATCCTGGATTGCTGAATAAGAAGCTGGCTGGGTGTCAGTATCGATGGTCCCAGTACATGGCGGCGCGACGACTCGGCAACACAGCAACGAGGGAGTCGAGCGGTATCAATCCTTGACACGGCAGTCAAAGAAGTCGGCGCTATGGGTACGATTTCCAGGGCGGGCAGCGACGAGGCACATACATGTTGTTTTGAAGGTCCGTGAGCGCTGGCAAAGGTCAGCACAAGCAATTGCCCAGAGGCGAGCGGGTTGGCTATGCAGGGTCCTGTGATCAAGACGCACGAAGGCAAAAAGGAGGGCGGGCAGGTGGAAGAAGGGTACAAAGGAAGAAAGACCATTTACAGGTCGAGCGAACATACACATTCTTTCAACTCATGTCTCATTGCCGGGGGGGCAGGAAGACCATTGCGGGCAGCGACAACGCGACGGCGGATACTATGGCTTTCGAATGGCAGCGCTTGCGTACAGTAATAAGCGGAGGAAGGTCCGTCGACGGCTGGCGAGGGCTTGGGGAAATCGGTGCAATACCAAATATCGTGCAGAGGGAGAGTCGCGAGCGAGGAGCAGAGGCTGACGTTTGGCGAAGTCGTTGGTAAACGGGCGGCGGTTGGCGGTTTGGGCGGTTTTGATCTGGTTGGTATTAGTACGCTGGTCGGTTTGCTTAGACTAGAATTGGCTACGCCGTTGACCTTAGCGAGCGAGCGCTGAAAGGTCAGCCTGGAAGTGGGTGAGCTGCCTGGTGGTACTCGGTACATGTGCTCTGGCACTGGTGCATGCGCCTACTCCGTACTGCTACCGGCACATTGAAGTCGGGGAAGCCACATGTCTGGTGCTGCCCTGGAGTTGCAATATCGCTACCCGCTAGCCGACAGACGGGCTGCATGGACTGGCCGCCACACAAAGAAAAGACGGCGTGCTGTACGCGTAATAACTGGCTCGATGCCAACCAGGTACCTGGATATGCACCAACGCAGCAGGGTGATACGCGATACGTCTGGCCCCGGCGACCTCTGGGCGCAGATGAATGGTGAGCACTTGACCACAGTGGGCGCAAGTGGGCGGTGGGCGGAGGGTGGTGGGCTGTAGGCGGTGGGTTGTGGGCACAGCTGTTCCAGGAAAGCGGGGCGAAGGGTGGCTGCGGATCCTCCAGCTACGCAAAACCACCAGACCACACTGACCACATTGACCGGATGCCCGTCTCCCTCCAACCCTCGAAGCAAAAAGGCATTTGCATGGGTCGGGATTGCCCGTGGCGCCGGGAATTTGCCAACAGGCAGAGCGAGCATTCAAGTGAGATGCAACATTGCATCAAAACTGGATCTGCTTGCTATGGACCTGCAAATGTATTAATTACTAGTAACTAACTTATATGTTGCCCACCCTGGCAGCTGCGCCGACACGTGCTAGTAGGTACCTACACGGTAGGTGAATCGTAGGCACTTGATGGAGTACCTGCCATATTGCATACTGAGATTCCAATCTTCACCAACCAGGCCCCTGACTGCCCAAGTCCAAGTGGCTCAAGCCAAAGATCAGTTTCACTTTCGCCATCACCGTCACTGTCAGCCATCAACAGTAGGAATCACACTACTACCCCCAGACTCTGCCCAGCTTGCTATCCACGTACGGTACCTAGCCGTCCACCATCAATTAATCTGGAGTCCATGCTCCTAGCCTTCTCCTCCCGACTCGCCAGCAACTGTATATCTAACTACAGTGTGCTAGACACATGTATGGCATTGGTGCCTCCTACGACCAGGCATTGCACCATGTGTCTCCTGCTACAATCCAGAGGCCTTATGGCACCTACCTTGTCTTCATTCTGCTCTCTCTCCTCTCCCGTCTTCCAGCATCCAAGAGTCCAGCACCCTTTTGGTGTTTGTGAGACCTAATGGTACCCAGATTGCCAGACCGGCCCGGTAAGAGAAGCCGGAAGGCTGATATGATTATATGCAGATGCAGATGCAACGCGCAGACACGGGAACATGATCGGTTTTTGAGCAAGTTGGACTTTCCAAGTTGCGGCCAGGGAAATCCTGGTACACCACGAAAGACGGAAATGACACAAGCAATACCCCCGGGCCGAATACCCTCGGTGCGCTGCAGTCCAAATGCAAAGCCAAAAGGAAGAAGAACAAGGAGGAGGAGAGGGAGACGAGGGGAA